CACAATCTTGGCTCACTCAAACCACCTGCAGGATTCAAGCAATTCTCCTGTTTCAGGCTCCCTAGGAGCTGGGATTACAGGCACGCACCAACTTGCCTGTTTCGGGCTAATTTTTTTTAGAGACGGGGTTTCATCATGTTACCCAGCTGCTCTCAAAACTCCTGGCCTCAAGTGATCCACCCCTCAGGCTCCCAAAGTGCTGGGATTATAAATGTGAGCCAAGGTGCTTGTCCTATTATTATTATTACTATTATTTTATTGGTATTAGGTTCCCTGAAGTCCAAGGAGACATATTCAGCTTTTTGGTATAATAAAATCATACAAGAAGCACTGTCACATATGCAATGGTGTTTAACCTTCTTTGGATTATATTTATATAAATGTGTTGGCCAGGCATGGTGGCTCATGCCTGTAATCCCAGCACTTTGGGAGGCTGAGGTGGGTGGATCACGAGGTCAGGAGGTGGAGACCATTCTGGCCAACATGGTGAAACCCTGTCTCTACTAAAATACAAAAAATTAGCCAGGCATGGTGGCACACACCTGTAGTCCCAGCTCCTCAGGAGGCTGAGGCAGGAGAATCTCTTGAACCCGGGAGCTGGAGGTTGCAGTGAGCCCAGATTACACCACTGCACTCCAGCCTAGTGACAGGCCAAGACTCCATCTTTAAAAAAAATGTGTTATTAGTATATATTACCAAAATTGCCACTCTTAAAAGACACTAGTCAAGTGCATATGGGGATCAAGGGCCGTTCCCTTCAGAGGGAAAAGTGGGCTCCTCCTTTCATTTTAATGTTTGCATTAAAAAGAAAAATATGGTCAGTGACAGTGGCTCACGCCTGTAATCCCAGCACTTTGGGAGACCAAGACAGGTGGATTGCTTGAGTTCCAGACCAGCCTGGCCAACATGATAAAAACCCATCTCTACTAAAAATACAAAGAATTAGCCAGGTGTAGTGGCAGGCGCCTGTAATCCCAACTACTTGAGAGGCTGAGGCAGAGAATGGCTTGAACCCGGGAGGCGGAGGTTGCAGTGAGCTGAGATCGTGCCACTGCACTCAAGCCTGGGTGACAGAGCGAGACTCCAGCCTCAAAAAAAAAAAAAACAAAAATAGCCAGGCGTGGTGGCACGCATCTGTAGTTCCTCAGGAGGCTCAGGTGTGGTGGCACACACCTATAATCCCAGCTACTTGGGAGGCTGAGGCAGGAGAATCCTTTGTACCCAGGAGGCAGAGCCAGCCTGGGTGACAGAATGACACTTCATCGGAAAAAAAAAAAAGAAAAAAATACAGAGGTGAACATCACATCTTGCCTGCACATTTTTCAGGGGACAACACAATGAGTTTTTACGTCTGTACAGGCAGGTCAATATAAGGCGAGCAGATCTTTTATGTCTGTACAGGCAGATCAAGATAAGCCAAGCAGATCACTTGAGGTCAGGAGTGCAGGACCAGCCTGACCAACGTGGCAAAACTCAGTCTCTATTAAAAATACAAAACTGGATCTAAATGGCGGCGCTCGGGTATGAGGCTGGGGCTAAGTTGGATTCAGGTGTGCAGCCGGTGGGAGCTGAGGAAGCACCCAAGATAATATAAGCAAGGAAAACTGTGTTTTTAGAAGTTCACGGATTGGCATAGTATGTGGTGTTTTACAACCCAATTCTTTGGCTTTTGTTAAAAATGGACGTCTGGCAACCAAGTATCATGCCATTCCACTGCCACCAAAAGGAAGGGTTTTACTCCACTGGATGCTGCTTTGTCAGACACAAGTTAAATTAATGGCAATTCCTGTAGTCTTTCATATTGCGATTGGAGTAGTTAGTAGTCTACACTACTACACAGTATTTGAAAGCACACTTGAGAAAATTGTACCTGCAGAGTAACCAAAAAAATGAATGGTTGCTAACTTAGCAGAATGAAGTTTTTGTGAAGTGGACTCGGGCATTGCTGAAATTGTTAAAAGTAACTCTGAACAATTTGTTTCTGTGACTTTTGCCTGGCATATAGCAAATACTCAATACATATTCAATATGCAATCAATAAATAAAAGTTTCAACTTAAAAAAAAAAAAATACAAAACTGGCCGGGCTTGGTGGCTCACGCCTATAATCCCAGCACTTTGGGAGGCCGAGACGGGTGGATCACGAGGTCAAGAGATCGAGACCATCCTGGTCAACATGGTGAAACCCCATCTCTACTAAAAATACACAAATTAGCTGGGTATGGTGGCGCACGCCTGTAGTCCCAGCTACTCAGGAGACCGAGGCAGGAGAATTGCTTGAACCCAGGAGACAGAGGTTGAGGTGAGCCGAGATCGCGCCATTGCACTCCAGCCTAGGTAACAAGAGCAAAACTCCATCTCAAAAAATAAAGTAAAATAAAAATACAAAACTTAGCTGGGTGTGGTAGCACACACTTATAATCTCACCAACTTCAGAGGCTGAGGCAGGAGAATCACTTGAACCCAGGAGGCTGAGGTTGGAGTGAGCCGAGATCATGCCAGTGCACTCCAGCCTGGACAACAGAGGGAGAATCTGTCTCGAGAAAAAAAAATACAAAAATTAGCCAATTGTGGTGGCATGGGCCTGTAGTTCCCAGCTACTTGGGAGGCTAAGGCAGGAGAATCACTTGAACCCGAGAGGCAAAGGTTACAGTGAGCCGAGATCATGCCACTATACTGCAGCCTGAGTGACAGAGCAAGATTCTGTCTCCAAAAAAAAAATAATAATAATCTATCTTAAAGAGAGCTAATCCGACTAGGCGCAGTGGCTCTCCTGTAATCCCAGCACTTTGGGATGCCAAGGCAGGCAGATCACCAGGTTAAGAGTTTGAGACCAGCCTGGCCAACACGGTGAAACCCCATCTCTACTAAGAACACAAAACAGGGGGCCGGGCGCGGTGGCTCAAGCCTGTAATCCCAGCACTTTGGGAGGCCGAGGCAGGTGGATCACTAGGTCAAGAGATCGAGACCATCCTGGTCAACATGGTGAAACCCCGTCTCTACTAAAAACTACAAAAAAATTAGCTGTGCATGGTGGCACGTGTCTGTAGTCCCAGCTACTGAGGAGGCTGAGGCAGGAGAATTGCCTGAACCCAGGAGGCAGAAGTTGCGGTGAGCCGAGATCACACCATTGCACTCTAGCCTGGGTAACAAGAGCGAAACTCCGTCTCAAAAAAAAAAAAAAAAAAAACATAAAACAGCCAGGTGTGGTGGCGCATGCCTGTAATTCCAGCTAATAGAGAGGTCGAGGCAAGAGAATTGCCTGAACCCGGGAGGCAGAGGTTGCAGTGAACAGAGATTGTGCCACTGCACTCCAGCCTGGGCACGAGACTGCATCTCGGGGAGTAGTGGGGAAGAGCTAATTCAAGCTCAAAGTTTGAGGCCAACTGTTTGGAAAACAGATCCCAAAGAACAGAAGTCAGTGTTTTGAAGTGTACACGTTTGGGATCATTGGTGTAGACAAAGTTTAGGGAAGCTCAACAGAATTTCAACATCTTTCTATGTAAGGCTTGATAATAATTACCATGGTCTGATTAGTCAAGGTGGTCTTTTTCTTCTGAGATGGTATATTTAACATTTCACCCTGAAGATGTAACAGTCTTGGCATCTTGTGTGCCATCTGATCTGAGTGAGGTACAGGACAATCCTGGAGGCAGTTAACCTGTAACCAAAGGTCAGTGGTTACAAGTGGAGGAGGCGTAGTCTCTGGTCTGTCCTAGCCATTTACAGAACAAGAGCAATGAGGAAGAAGGTTAACCTATGATCTAAGAAGCAGAGTTTACACCTGCAAGCTGCATGACTCAGAGCACACATCTCACCCAAGGCTTTTATTTTATTTTATTTTATTTTATTTATTTTATTGATTCTGTTACCCAGGCTGGAGTGCAGTGGTGCGATCTCGGCAAACTGCAACCTCCGCCTTCCAGTTTCAAGCGATTCTCCTGCCTCAGCCTCCCAAGTAGCTGGACCTACAGGTGCGTGCCACCATGCCCAGCTAATTTTTGTATTTTTAGTAGAGATGGGGTTTCACCGTGTTAGCCAAGATAATCTCGATCTCCTGACCCCGTGATCTGCCTGCCTCGGCCTCCCAAAGTGCTGGGATTTCAGGCATGAGCCACCGTGCCCAGCAGCTATGGTATTTGTTTTTTAAATCAGAGTGTCACCCTGCCACTCAGGCTGGAGTGCAGTGGGTCAGTCTCGGCTCCTCCACATCCCCGGTTCAAGTGATTCGGCTGCCTCAGCTTCCCAAGTAGCTGGGACCACAGGCACCTGCCACTATGCCCAACTAATTTTGTATTTTTCGTAGAAATGGGGTTTTGGCACCGTTGGCCAGGCTGCTCTCAAACTTCTGACCTCAAGTGATCCACCCGGCTCAGCCTCCCAAAGTGCTGAGATCACAGGTGTGAGCCACCATGCCTGGCCTCTTCAGCTTTTAAATTGTATTTGCTTTTATATATGTGAAAGTTTAGGCTGGGCGTGGTGGCTCAGGCCTATAATCTTAGCACTCCAGGAGGCGGGAGATGGGCAGAACACTTGAGGCCAGGAGTTCAAGACCAGCCTGGGCAATGTGGTGAAACCCATTCTCTACTAAAAATGCAAAAATTAGCTAGGTGTGGTGTTGAATGCCTGTAGTCCCACCTACTCAGGAGGCTGAGGCAGGAGAATCACTTGAACCTGGGAGGCATCAGTTGCAGTGAGCAAAGATTCAGCCTGGCAAGAGAGCAAGACTCTGTCCCCAAAAAAAAAAAGAAAAAAGAAAAAGGAGGTTTAGTGTTCATAAATAAAGTTTTATTGGAACACAGCCACATTCATTCATTTATATTGTCTATGGCTGCTTTATGCTGAAAAGGCAGAGTAGAGTGGTTAGGAAAGAGACCAAATGGCCCACAAAATTTAAAATACAGGTGACCTGGCCAGGTGCGGTGGCTCACGCCTGTAATCCCAGCACTTTGGGAGGCCGAGGCGGGCAGATCACGGGGTCGGGAATTCGAGACCAGCCTGGCCAATATGGTGAAACCCTGTCTCTACTAAAAATACAAAAATTAGCTGAGCATGGTGGCGCATGCCTATAATCCCAGCAGCTACACGGGAGGCTGAGGCAGGAGAATCACTTGAACTCGAGAGGTGAAGGTTGCAGTGAGCCGAGATTGCGCTACTGCACACCAGCCTGGGCAACAGAATGAGACTCTGTCTAATAAATAAATAAATAAGTAAATAAATAAATAACAGCGGTATGTTAAAAACAAAAACTTTCAGGTGTGTAAAATACAAGTTGTATGGAAGCAGAGTGCCTGCTAGCAGTGTGCCCATTATGCAGTATTGTATAGTGCTCTGTTGGCACCAGATCACTGTTAATGGTTAGGACATTTATGGTTGGGAGTAAGGAAAAGGCATCCATTTAACTTCCTGCATTACCGAGCACAACATCGTTCCTAATCGTTCATGAATATTTTTGTTCAAAGGTCTGCAAACCACTCAAAATGGCCGATTCTATGCCATCTCTGCACGCTTCAAACCATTCAGCAATAAAGGGAAAACTCTGGTCATTCAGTACACAGTAAAACATGAGCAGAAGATGGACTGTGGAGGAGGCTACATTAAAGTCTTTCCTGCAGACATTGACCAGAAGAACCTGAATGAAAAATCACAGTACTATATTATGTTTGGTGAGTTTAGGTGGTACAAATCTACCACTTCTGGTGACTTTGAAAACCCTCTCACTTCACAGGATCTTTAAACTAGGCTTTGCTAACATACTGAAGGTTAGTAGTATTGAGTATATTGGATCCAAGGTTTATAGCACTGTTAAACCGAATTAATATAAAAAGCAACTGTACCAGTCAGTTGTATTCCTGAAAAAGTTATTTATTCACCACAAGTGTAGCCCTCATGCAGGCTAAGGATTCCTTACCTGAAATGTTTGGGACCAGTGTTTTGGATTTTGGAATTTTTGAGTATTTGCATTATCCTTACTGGCTGAGCATTGTTAATCTGAAAAACCAGAAACCCACAGTGCTCCAGTGAGCATTTCCTTTGAGCATCATCTTGAGTCTAAGAGTTTCGGATTTTGGAACACTTTAGATTTGGAATTTTTTGATTTGGGATGCTCAACTTGTATGGTGTTTTGTTTTGTTTTGTTTTGTTTTGAGATGGAGTTTTCACTCTTGTTGCCTAGGCTGGAGTGCAATGGCAGTGGCGCAGTCTTGGCTCACTGCAGCCTCCACCTCCAGGGTTCAAGCAATTCTCCTGCGTCAGCTTCCTGAGTAGCTGGGATTACAGGCATGCGCCACCATACCCGGCTAACATTTTTGTATTTAGTAGAGATGGGATTTCACCATGTTGGCCAGGCTGGTCTCGAACTCCTGGCATGTCTCAAACTCCTGGCCTCAGGTGACCCACCCGCCTTGGCCTTCCAAACTGCTGGGATTACAAGCCTGAGCCACCATGTGTGGACTCAACCTGTGTTTTCAATCCTTCAGGACTCAGTAAACTTTGGCCATGGGCCAAATTGGCCCACCATCTGCATTTCTATGACGCATGAACTACAAATTTTTTTACATTTTTAACTGCTTGGAAAAAATCAATACAAGGATGACATTTTGCGATACATGAAAATTATATGAAATTTGGCTAAGCACAGTGTCTCATACCTGTAATCCCAGCACTTTGGGAAGCTGAGGTCAGGAATTCAAGCCCAGCCTGGCCAAGATGGTGAAACCCCATCTCTACTAAATATACAAAAATTAGCCGGGGGTGGTGGCAGGCACCTATAATCCCAGCTACTTGGGAGGCTGAGGCAGAGAATTGCTTCAGCTTGGGAGGCAGAGGTTGCAGTGAGCTGAGATCGCACCACTACACTCCACATTCCAGCCTGGGCGACAGAGCAACGCTTCATCTCAAAAAAAAAGAAAAAGAAGGCCAGGCATGGTGGCTCACACCTGTAATCCCAGCACTTTGGGAGTCCAAGGCAGGCAGATCACAAAGTCTGGAGTTCGAGACTAGCCTGGCCAAGATGGTGAAACACTGTCTCTACTAAAAATACAAAAATTAGCCAGGTGTGGTGGCAAACGCGCGTTAATTCCAGCTACTCAGGAGGCTGAGACAGGAGAATCACTTGAACCCAGGAGGTGAAGGTTACAGTGAGCTGAGATTTCACCACTGCACTCCAGCCTGGGGGATACAGTGAGACCCCATCTCCGTTAAAAAAAAAAAAAAAGGCAATTAGATGAAATTTAGATTTCAGTGTCCCTAAATGAAGTCTTACTGGAATGCAGCCTCACTCTGTTCATTTATATGTTGTCTGTGGCTGCTTGCCAGTAGCAGTGGCAGAGTTAAGTTGTCATGACACAGATCATTAGGCTTACAAAGCCAGAAATATTCTACCATCTGGCCTTTATAGAAAAAACCTGCAAACCTCTGGAAAATATTAAATGTCTCTTAACACCAGGGGTACTTGATTAAAATTTGTGCTGGAACTGGGAAGGGATCACACTCGGCCACAGGAAATAGACATAAGTATAGTGTAACTTACAACTTTAAGAATTAATGTACCAGGCCGGGCGCAGTGGCTCAAGCCTGTAATCCCAGCACTTTGGGAGGCC